TTCATGGAGTAGGGCAGAGTGATCTGTGTCACCCACTTTCTGGAGAGTGACTGGGTCATGTTCTCCAGCCTCCACTGCCCTACAGCCCCAATTCACACAAGCTGCCCCTCACATGCCATCAGAAGGACTTTTCTGCAAGCCTATGCCAAGTATTCTGCAGCTGCCCTGTCTCTGTATGCTCTCCATAACCCTGGAAAAAGGGAGAAAAAGAGGGAAGAGTGAGTCTCAGAGAGGGGACTCCAGGGACACCCTTGAACTAGCCTAGGACCCAGACAGGTGCCTCCTGGGTCCACATGCTGACCTTTACGGGTTCCTCTGCAATCACAGAACAGCCTCCAAAGCTGTCCAGAGCAGGAGCAGGTGGAGGAGTGCGTACAGACAACTAAAAATGTCTTGGTGCAGAAGCTTTGGGGGCAGCTGTGAGGACACCTGAGGCAGGGAGGGACATCTGGAGCTTAGAGAAGGGGCATATCACTCCTGCTTCTTTGATCCAAGCGGGGCATTCATCTATGGCCAATCTCATGACCAGAAAGCTGGGTCAGAGAGGTCTGGGCCAGTGGGCCATGTCTAAGACCCTAACCCTGTCTATAGGGTAAGAGGTCTAGCCTGACCTAGCAGTCTTAATGGAAAATCCTGCAAAGCATCTCTCCCCATACTGCAGAGGACTGAGGTGACAAATGCGTCTGTGCCTGATGGCCTTGCCCCTGCAGGGACTGCTGTCTTCAGTAGGGAAACAGAAGACAAGAGGGAAAGCAAGGTTCCTGGGTCTCCTTGGTGGTTGCTGATGCTGGGAAGGTCTGAATCACAATCTTCTTATAAAGCATCTTAAACCAGAGATGACATAAGACCCTCTACAGGTGCCACCCCAAATGGGACTTCCTGTTGCTCAGGAGATAGTGGGTGCTGCTAACCTGACCCATGTGCTAATAGGGAGGGGCCCCATGATAGCACACAGTCTCTGGACAGAGCTGAGCCCATGAAGGCCAGTACTTAGGCAGCGCCCAAGGCATCTAGCTGTCTAGGTGGTCTGACCAAGAACTACTGGCATCTCATAGCTACTGACCTGCAAGGAAGCAACCAGATCATGTAGGAGGATTAAACAGGAACAGCTACAAGTATGGTCTTCACAGCTCTCCCATTCTAATCTTGGGTTCTGAGTAAGGATGTTGCTTCCCTTCCAGTTTAGGGAAGGGAGGGAGTCTAGCTCTTGCTTTTAGGAGACAGCATGGTCAGCTATTGGCTGGTGTCTGTTCTCTTTAAAAGTACCTTCAATTCAAAATAGTCATTGTGCCAGAGTGGCATAGTTCTAACTCCCTCCCTGACCGGGCTGTCACTGTGCTGAGTCACAACTCCATGCTTGACTTGAGGGAAACCTTGTGGGCAAGACTGTTGAATGGGCAGATGCTGTTTAGTAGCAACCGTGGCTGACTTGGCTTGACCCCTAGTCCTAGACTGAGCTGAGGTGCCCAGAGGCCACCCTGTTCTAGCCCAGGAGCTCATCCTGGGAATCATGGAGTGGGATTGATGTCAAGGTCTATCCAAGTTCAGAATGCCCAGGAGGAGACACAACTAGTCTGAGAGCCAGGCAGAGTTTTGCAGGGATTTCCGTGGCCTGTACACAAACCTGGCTAGGCTTGTGCCAGTGCTGGTTTGGGGGTGGGTGGACTCTGAGAAGTGGCCAGATGCTACCGAAGGGCTGTTGAGGCATTCTGAGTTTTTCTTCTTTCGGAACTCTGGCCAGGGGCCTTTGGGTCAGCTCTACCTGTTGCTCAGGGCCCTGCTGCAGCTCCCTTCCAGGACATTTGGATCTTCTAGCAAGAGGACAGAGGTGGATCCAGCTGCCTTCTCAGCAGGCGCAGAAGCTCTGAGAGTGTGTTTGCAGAGCCAGTGTGAACAAGCAGATGGTTTGGCTTTTGGTGCCACCGTGTTTATTCAGACACATTTGCCGAGCTGCCCAGTAGCCATGATTTTCACCTTCTTTTTGTTAGCCTGATTTCTGGGTGACTGACTTAGCTTGACAGTCCATGGAACACATACAGGGACACAGAAAGGTTAGTAAAACTGGCTGTCTAAGGCCCTTTTGCCCTTTTGGGTTTATATTCTTATGTATCTCTCTCTCTCTCTCTGTCTCTCTCTCTCTCTCTCTCCCCCCCTCTGTGTGTGTGTGTCTGTCCCTCTTTTTTTTCTTTTTCCCTTCTATTTTAGTTAGGGCTTTATTGATGTAAAGAGACACCATGAGCATGGCAACTCTTTGCTTGTTTGGTTGGTTTGTTTTGTTTGTTTGTTTGCTTTTTTCAAGACAGGGTTTCTCTGTGGCTTTGGAGGCTGTCCTGGAACTAGCTCTTGTAGACTAGGCTGGGCTTGAACTCAGGGATCCTCCTGCCTCTGCCTCCCCAGTGCTGGGACTAAAGGCGTGCACCACCACCGCCTGGCGAGCATGGCAACTCTTACAAAGGAAAACATCAGTCCGTTATCATCATGGCAGGAAGCATGGTGGCACCCAGGCAGACATGATGCCGTGAAGGTAGCTGGGGAGGTAGTCTACATTTGGATCTGCTGGCAGCAGGAAGAGACAGTGAGCCATTGGGCCTGGCTTGAGCTTCTGAAACCTCAAAGCCCACCCTGCTGTGACACACTTCCTCCAACAAGGCCACACCTCCAACAATGCCACTCCTTATGAATCTATGGGGTCGTTCTTAGTCAAACCACACCTTCCTTCCTTTTTCTTTTCTTTCTTGTGTTTTAGGGAGTCTTATGTTTAGCCTTGAACTCACTATGTAGCTAAGGATGACCTTGAGCTGCCTTAGTCTCCTCATTGCTGAGTTTACAGGAATGCACCACCACATCTAGTTTTATGCAATGCTGGGGGTTGGACCAGGACTTTGTGCATGTTAGACAATTGCTCTATCAACTCAGTACAGCCCCACTTGGCTTTAATCTTTTTAATGAAAGGAAAGATTTGAGAAAGATCTTTGGCCCAATCCACTCTCAGAGACAAGACCCCCTTCTCTGAATGTCCTCTATGGGCCCTACACCCAACACCTGCTCCCATAGGCCTGCTCCTCAAAAGCAGTGCTGAGATTGGGGTACAGGGGTTGTGGTGAGCCTTGGAGGTAGGAGCTGGTGTGTATTCAGGGTGAGCTCCCTTCCCTGAGCCAGAGTCTTCCTGGGGCAACAGCCCCAGCGGAGGAAATTTCCAGAAGAGTTTTGCAAGTGTCTTTGTGGCCTGCACAGGGACCTGGCTGTTTTTGTGCCACTGGCGAGTTTATGCTGAGGTAGGTGGGCTTCTAGAGACAGTCAGATATCCCCTCCATAGCCTGGTGGCATCATATCTCAGGCTCAGCTCCCTTGGGCTTGCAATGTTTGTGGGCAAGGTGCTATGTATGCAGTGTTGCCTTGGAAACTGCAGTTGTGGATACAGAGGGTGTGTCTCTGGATGGTGGGAGGATATGTAGGGCTCAGGACTGGGAGAAGCTGCTCAGCCACTTCATCCACAGACCCTTCATCCAAGATCAGAGTTCCAGACAGCCCTACCACTGCTGTAGGACAGGGTCCATAGAAGCACCCCCAGATGTCATCAGAGCATCATAGTAGAGTGACTAAAACCACAGCCAAGAAGTGTCTTCACGGCTTCCATCCACCCCGGCCGCTTTCATCTCCATGGCTCACATCTAGCTTCTCTGCAGACTGTGTGTCGCCCTGCTGTTTATACTGCACAGCTTAATGTCCTTGCTTGGTGTTCCAAAGTTGTTACATGTCATTAAAAGTCCTTTCGGTCGTCAATGGCTGAATGGCAGTATTAAGCTTACCACTCTGTGACAGGAGGCTGCTGGGTGTAGGGATTAGAAGTCAGTCCTAGAGATCTTTTGCCTTGTGTGTATTCCCAGGAAAAGAAACGTGGGCTGTCTCAGGGCAGATCCAGAGATTTTGGTCTGAGGCCACTGCCACTGAGGTGTATGGTGAGCTCCAGGCTTTTTGGTGACACCTGGAAGTCTCACCTACCCTGAGGTCCAGAATCATTCCAACCAGCATCTAGCATTCTATGAAGACCTGGAGACCACAGTCTGTAGAAACCCTCGGCAATGGCTCTGGTTACCTGATCACCTGTGCTTAAGAGGGTCACTGTGGTTTGCAATGGCACCAGGTACTGGCTCAGTCAGTATCAGGTTTTTTTTTTTTTTTTTTTTTTTTTTTTTTTTTTTTTTTTTTTGTTTCCCTTTGAGAATCTTTGTCCTTGGTTCTGATTGGCATTCCTTGGCCACAAGGGACACCCGCTACTTTTCTCCTCACCTCATCCTTATCACCTGCTCCTTTCTGCTAAGTAGTTGGCCATGACAGTGCAATGCTCAGAAAGTGCCGTGCCTTAATGACTGCACAGGTCCTGCTGTCGTGGACAGTCCCTTCTCAATGGAAACTGTGATCCCGTGGTGGATGCACGGCTTTGTACTAAGTGGGTTCTCCTCTTCATTCCGGTGATGATTATCTTGAATGCTAATTTGATTGGAATGGAAATCAACTAAGAGACACACCTCTGCATGGGTCCGTGAGGGCATTTCCAGGAAGCAGAGAGCAGACAGGAAGTAGGGCCAAACCAGCCCTCTACCCCTGCTCCCAAACACAGTGACCTACTTCCTCCAGCAAGGCTCTACCTGCTAAAGCTTCTGCAAGCTTCCAAAACAGCGCCAGCAGCTGGAAGCTAGGCGCTTAAACACATGAACCCTCAAAGCTGCATGCTGATGTGAGCCCTGAGACAGAAGAGGGTACTAAAGCTTGGTAGGTGTAACTGCTTACACAGGTCAAGGCTGGTGAGGGGCAGAGCACTCCACACAGCCAGCCCACCACAAAACGAGGACTCTTGTCTAGGTTGCCTGAAACTGGATTCTGCCAGTCTGTAGAAGGGGTCTGTTCACAGCCTTATCCCACAGTCGGCTGGGAATCCTGGCTCCTTCAGTGTGGAGGCAGCTGAAGAGTTTGCTTTCTGGCCCTTGGCCCTCCAGGTGTGCATCGTGCAGAAGCGGGACACTGAGAAAATGTATGCCATGAAGTACATGAACAAGCAGCAATGCATCGAGCGTGACGAGGTCCGCAATGTCTTCCGGGAGCTGGAGATCCTGCAGGAGATTGAGCATGTCTTCTTGGTGAACCTCTGGTGAGCCCACACGAGGGCTGCCACAGATGCCCCTTGCAGTGGGATTTACCCACAGGGATGCTCCCTATAGCAGGATTTGCCCTGGAGTGGGACAAGGGGCCCTGCTGTTCTTTGGCTCTAATACCAATGGGATTCCTCCTCTCCCGTGCTGGTCCTCCCTGCTCCCACCATCTATCTATTCAGCTTCTGTGTTCAGGGCCTGGTACACGGATTCTGGGTTGAGTTCCCCACCATGCTGTAGACCACACACCTCACCTCTTAGTTGTCTACTCAGTAGTGAGCAGAAGGTCCCAGTGCTGCTCTCCGCAACTGTGCAGATGTTGGCGAGACTTGGGCCATAAGCCAGGAGTTCAGAATCTATATCAGACTCTACCTCTCCATACACCAGCCCTCTGGGGGATGTCACCTGACATCTAGGGCTGCGTGCACTGGGACTGCCGTGGCATCCCGGGTCTTTTTGCTCCTTGACCCTCTTCCTGACTCCTTCCTTAGATTCCCGCCTGTGCCACCTTACCCAGGCCACTTTCTACTGAGGATGAGAAAGGCTGGCTTATGGAGGACAGGAAGGGGGACACCACATGAAACTGAATTCTCTGTGACTTCCTTCATGAAAGAGTCAGTTGTTTAGAAATTGGACTTACCTCTGAGAGCTCACAAAAGAAATTACTGAGTGGAAGAAAGTCCTTAAAGAATTGTTCAGCTCCTGTCACCATCATTTTCATTATCATCAGTGTCACCACTACTACCCCCAGCATCTTTATTACTGTCATCACCACCACCATTGCCGCCACCACCACCATCACTTTCCCCACCATCTCTATCACCACCTGGCCACATCCAAGTGGCTCTTATTTGTCCAATAGACACATTCTGGGATTTCATACCCAGACACCATCTTTAATCACCACCACTGTCACTGCCACCATCACTACCATGGCTTCTAGTCCTTAAGCATGAATTTCTTGCCCAGCTCCAGCAAAGCATCTCATTGGCACTGTCTCACGTTCTTCTGTTACCAGTGGTTTTTTTTTTTTTTTAATTTTTTTTATTCTCATAGAAGAACCCAGGGAAGCCTGAAACAGCAGCCCAGGAATGCGCACTGTTTTTGTTCTCCAGTTGTCACTTCTGGGCACCTCTGCTCTGCAGCTGAGCCACCCGTAGGGGTCTGGCTGTTCTGTTTTCCCTAGTGTCTTGCTGCAGCTCTGAGCAGAGGTGTAGACACTGCCTTAGGCAGGAACACAATCTGATTGGAAGGAGGAAGGACCAGGTGTGGCAGGACCCATTGCTCTGGCTCCCTAGCCATTCATATGCCAAGAATCTTCCCCTGGTGCCCACAGGTATTCGTTCCAGGATGAGGAGGACATGTTCATGGTGGTGGATCTGCTTCTGGGTGGAGACCTGCGCTACCACCTACAGCAGAATGTCCAGTTCTCGGAGGACACAGTGAGGCTGTACATCTGTGAGATGGCCCTGGCCCTGGACTACCTGCGTAGCCAGCACATCATCCACAGGTGTGTGAACACCTGTGGGATGAGCCACCTCCTGGTTTGAATGGTTGGTAATAACCTTGGGTCACACCACCTAGGGGGTGTACCTAGTCTAGCAGAGTCCAGCTCTTCATCCCACCCTCCCATCAGGACCTATTCCCATCAGGGCCCTGTCCAAACAAGCCGGTTTGAGGCTGGACACAGAGGACTTAGTCCTCAAGGGTGGACCACAGGGCCTGGCCACATCCAAGTGACTCTTATTTGTCCAGTAGCCACATTCTGGGATTTCACACTGTGGTGTTCTTGCAAAGCGGATGGAATTGGAAAATGTCTAATTAGGAAGTAGGAATGAGGCTGAAATCCTGCAGCCTCGATGCAAAGCGAGGTGTAAGTCAAATAGACCTGATTTCTGCCTCTCTGGCCTGGGGATTCTGTTGTCTGGCCATAGTTAAGTTGTGTGATGGTTACTGAACACTAGCTGTGTGTCTGGATGGAAGTCAAGGGGAGAAAACCGAAACCAAGTTGTGACTGAAATGTACATGAGTTCACTTCCACACAGTTCCAGGGCTCTGGTGAGGGCATCATGGGAACCTGTCCCTGAGGGTGTTCTGTAGTTCTTGGGGCCATCCAGTTGTAGGTGCTCTCTGGCCACCAAGACTCAGAAGATTGCTACTTTGGTGCCCTCTAAATAGTGTGGAGGGTGTCTACCATGCCTCACACCAGGTCCTATGTTAGGACTCATCCTAAATACCAAGTCATGCCTTCCAGGCCTCTGCCTGGTGGGGTGTCTGGAGAGCCCCTGATCGTCAGAGGTGTCAGAGCGGGAATGGCATAGGCTCAAGCTCCTTTTCTTGTCACCTCTGCCCTCCTAGAGATGTCAAGCCTGACAACATTCTCCTGGATGAGCAAGGTGAGTAACTGGAGCTCTGGGACACTGAGGGGAACATGGCACCATGCTTAGAACCTGGAAAACGATGTCTGCCTCTCTCCACAGGACATGCACACCTGACCGACTTCAACATTGCCACCATCATAAAGGATGGGGAGAGGGCGACAGCTTTAGCTGGGACCAAACCATACATGGGTAAGCCTAAGGCCTCAGATGACACCTGGCCATACAGGGCAATGCCTCCTCCTCCATCCTTACTCCACAGTCAGATATAAAGTCACAAGAGGATTGACAGGAAAGGTTTTTTATATGATCAATCTGATACATGCAGAAAATTCTGTGTGTGTATCTGAGAGTCATGGGATGAAAAAATGAGATGGCCCCTTCATCCCTGCACACTCACTAGAGCAGAGAACCAGGGCTTGAACCAAAGGGTCTAGCTATGCCCAATGTTTTAAGTACTGTGGACTGTTCCGGAAGGGTGCTCCTCCCTGTAAGTGGAAAAGTGCAGAATCATGGTTGGGTAGGGTTTTCTTTTAGACCTGGTGCAGCCTTCTTTCCAGGCCTGGCTGTGAGTTGCTGGGTTGCCAGGCCCTCTAGCCCCACAGCTCATCTCTTTCTTCTCTTTGTTGGAAAGCTCCAGAGATCTTCCACTCTTTCGTCAATGGTGGGACTGGCTACTCCTTCGAGGTGGACTGGTGGTCGGTGGGGGTGATGGCTTATGAGCTGCTACGAGGATGGGTATGGAGCCTTGTAACCTTAAGCTTGCCACTTCCTTGCCCCAGCCTGGCTGAGAGCCAGAGAGGGAGGGTGGTACTCCCAAACCTTAGAGGACTCAGGCTTTTAGCAAAGTGTGATAGATGCTGAGTAAGCGAGCCTCCTTGGGTGGTCAATGGTGGACAGGGCGTGTGTCCGGCAGGTTCCTAGGAGGGGTTTTACTTTTTTCTCTAGGGGCAGAGACACTGATCTGCTTAGGCCTCATATTGCCCTCTGTGTCCTCCCTTGGCGTACCCCCACCATTCCTCAGAACCCCAGTCCTGATGAACACAGCACCTCCTGTCCTTTGGGAATGACCCATCTAGGCCTTCAGTCTTGGTGGTGGTAGGGAGTGCAGATGAGTTTCAGTCCTGGTGCAAGCTCTACCCCCTGGGCTCTGAATCAGGTAGCTGCTGTTTTCAGAGCTGGACCTGTACCTGGGATTAGACTGCAGGTGGGCTCCCAGGGTGTTTGCACTTGTGCCTGGGTGCAGTGGTGGGGAGAGGCACCTGGTGCAGTACGTTCCTGCCCACAGAGGCCCTACGATATCCACTCAAGCAATGCTGTGGAGTCCCTCGTTCAGCTGTTCAGCACCGTGAGTGTCCAGTATGTGCCCACCTGGTCCAAGGAGATGGTAGCCCTGCTTCGAAAGGTGAGCCTCCATCCTCCTCACCCCCCACCCCTGAGTCCTAGCCCTTTGGCACTCACCTTTTCAGGATCTCAGGGAGGTACTCCATCTTTCCATGGGCACAGACCCCTTCACTAGCACAGCCATAACCTTTCCTGAACAATCACTCTGAAACCCTGCCTGGCTCAGAGAAGTGAGTTTCTAGTTCCAGCAGCAGGCTGTCTGTGTGCTTCTCATAGGCAGCCTGATTGGGCCCTCATGGTGAGTTAAATAGTGATATACCCCTGTCTATAATCCTGTCAGAAACCCACGTGTCAGGACCTGGCTATCACTCACTTTACAAGATACTCAGACCCAGGCAAAGAATTCAGGCATCAGGCCTCCTGGATTACACATGTAGGAGAGAGAGGGTACCAGGCTGGCATATGACTAAACTGTGCTCAAGTTGTCCTCTGTCCCTGCTCCCACCCTGAAAGATGCACAGGGCCTGGGACATCACTCCCAGGGAGCAAGCAAAGAAAAAAGCCAGTCCCCCTCATCCCTCTCACAGGCAAGTTCTGTCTATGGCTGCTGGGAGGAGGATGAGGATAGTAGCTATCAGGGACACAGGGACACTATGTGTCCTGGGACTGGACTAGGGGTTGTTGTTTATAGCATGAAGAGCTTTTTTCTAAATATGCTGATTGCAGTACCCTAAGGGGTGGATCCAGATAGCAGAGCCCATGGCCAGGACAGGTGTGAAGAAAGGGTTATTATATACAAGACCTGAACAGGAGGCATCTGGTCCTGGTGACCTGATGTCCTGACCCAACATGGATGCCTAGGTCTCTGGAGCCTGGAGGTTCTACGTGGTAACATGTGGTAATACGTGGTGACTATGTGGCTTTGATGTAGTTAGTTGGGCCCACATGCAGGCATGAGAGAACATTATCCAGACTACCACTGCCACCTGCTGGTAAATCTTGGCAGGACGTCCCTGCAGGTCCTCTGTTGTCCTTGGGCATCAGGGCACTGGGATCACAGAGTCCCTCGGGCCATATTGCTTGATGCCACCTTTCCTCACGTGTCACTTGTGAACCTGAAGTTCTAGACCGCAGACCTGTGGACACCTTCAAGGGTTGCTCTAACCTGGGGCAGGTGGCCATTCTTCTGTGGGACTCGTCTGAGAGGGGGGCCTTCTTACAGCTCCTCACTGTGAACCCCGAACACCGGTTCTCCAGTCTCCAAGACATGCAGACAGCCCCATCGCTGGCCCATGTGCTCTGGGATGACCTGAGTGAAAAGAAGGTGGAGCCAGGCTTTGTGCCCAATGTAAGAAGACTGTGTGCTCGGACAGGCAGTTCCAGGAGGTTGGGGTGGGGTGGCATCCACAGTCTGGGCTCAGTATCCTGTGCCTCTACACAGAAAGGCCGCCTGCACTGTGACCCCACCTTTGAGTTGGAGGAGATGATTCTGGAATCGAGGCCTCTGCACAAGAAGAAAAAGAGGTTGGCTAAGAACAAGTCGAGGGACAGCAGCAGAGACAGCTCGCAGTCGGTGAGTGCGAGGCTCAGGCCGCAGCTCTTCCTCACCCCTATGTGTGGTGTATAAGGTTCCTTCAGAACACTCTGCATGGCCTTGGGGAGAGCATGTGCTCTATAGCCCAGAAATAGTTCTCCTAAAGTCCCAAGGAGGCCTAGGACTTTCCCTCTACCTTCACCAGCTTCCCTGGTCATACTCGGCCTCTCCATATAGCTGCCCTCAGCTGCTTGCTCCTTCTGGACAGTGGCACCTGCTGTTAGCAATGGCACAAACTGAGCATGAAAAGTCCCTGATGCTATGCCCAGGGGCATTAGTGTTCAGGTGACTTGTGTCCTGGTACATCAGTGCTCAGGGGTACTAGTGTCCAAAATCAAAATGTTGTCTAAGCTCTGCTCTCCCAAGTCTCCAAGAAGGCTCCTTCCCTGCCTCTCTGGCTTTGGGGGTGCCTGTCAATCTTGAGCATCCCACATAAAGTCACGTTCACAGGTTCTAGGGTTTATATCCTGAACTTTTTTTGGGGGGGGAGTCACACTTTAGTTCCTAATACCAGGATACAATTGGTGAGTGCACCCATTATGTGTTGATATCAGAGTGGTATGATCAATGGTCAGTGTTTGTCCTCTACTTGGGCCTCTCTCTCTCTCGAGTATATCCCCCCAGATCTGATGGGCCTTGTGTTGCTCCTGAGTAGGTGTGGGATGCAGGACTGGGGTTGTCCTCACTCTCCTTAGACTTCCCATAACACCCCTGGTGTCTGTGTACTGCATTTCAGCCTGACAGCTCCTGAGACAGGTGTCAAGAGTTGGTATGGCAGAGGTTCTTGCTAGGGGAATTTAGAACCAGGGTTTTGGGGAATTGAAACTGGCTCTGTGTGGGAGAGGGTACCTAGTGTGAGAATCCAGACTCTAACTGCCATGCTGACTTCCAGAGGCTATGAATGGGTAGACACCTGCACCTAGAGGACAGCACTGTCCTGCAGCAGTTGGTGGGAGCTTTAGTTGGAGGGTGGGAAGTGTTCTGCAAGTTGGCTAACACTGGGAAAACATCCAACATTCTTATGGAAATTTGAGACTGAGGCACTTTAATGGATACCTTTATTTTCTTACAATCACAGCGCACAACACACACACACACACACACACACGAAGTGTGACATAGCTGGCTTCCAGCACACGTACCACTACAATCTAAGCTGAGAGCTTTCTCATTGCTCCTTCTTATCAGCTGCTGTTCTCCAACCTTTTCCTGCAGCTGCCTCTGTCCCTGTAGATGTCCTTACTCTGACATTTCACCTAGATGGAATCGTAGTGTGTGGTCCTGCACACTGCTTGCACTTGACATGATGCTTTCAAGACTCATCCATGCTGTCCCAAAGGCCAGCACCTCCCTTCTTCTGATTGTGAAAAACACCCCCTCTCTGTTTTGTATTTTATTCGTGAATATGTCACATTTCCCTCTGCCATTTGTCACCTGACTGGACTTTGGGTCACTTCCGCTTTTGAACCATTGTAACACTGCTGTGAATTTGTGTGTAGATCCTTGTGGGGTGTGCTCTCGTTTTTTTCTTAGGAGGTACCTCAGTGTGACATTTGGCTTATGTGCCACCTCTCTGCCCTAGTTTTTAGGAACCCACCATGGTGTACCACTTTATACCCCCACTGGCCACATATGAGGACTCCAATGCTTCATGTCCTCAACAGTTCTTAATGTTCAGATTGCATCTTCAGTTGTAACTACAATATTGAGTATGAAGCAGTGAAGGGTGTTTTTGTGTGTGTGTTTTTTTTTTTTTTTTTTTTTTTTGTTTTTTTTTTTTTTCCTTCCTTTTTTTTTTTTTTTTTTAAGACAGGGTCTCTTGTATCCCAGGCTGGTCTTGAACCCACTTTATAGTCAAGAATGACCTTGAATTTCTAATTTTCTGCCTCTACCACTCAAGTGCTGGGATTAGGGGCATGCTCTGCTATACCCCATAATGTCCCATGCATGCTAGATGCTCTACTAACTGAGCGGCACTCCCAGATGTCACGGCTGCTTTTTATTTGCCTTGCACTGATTAACGAACATCTTTTGTGCTTATCACATAGCTTATTGGAGAACTGCCCCTTTCTGTCCTTTTAAAGCTGGATTATCTTTCAAAGTCCCCTGTGCCCATATCTGTCCTTGGCCGATGTGTTTAGACCACTCACATTGACATAGATTCATTTTGACTGTGTTTGTGGCCAGTCTACACACCATTCGCGTTCTTTCCTATCCAGCTTTGCCTCCTCTGATTTTCACCAAGCATTTTACATGATTTTCCTCCATCTCCTGCTCAGCTCACCAATGATTCTCTTCCAATAGTAGTTTTAGGAGGCCTGGTGAGACAGCTCGGTGGGTAGAGGTGCTTGCTGCCAAGCCCGATGACCTGAGTTTGATTCCTGAAACCCACAAAGTGGAGGGAGAGAACTGATTTTTGAAGGTTGTCCTTTGACCTTCATGCACACACTATCCACATGGTGGATGGAGAGAACTGATTTTTGAAGGTTGTCCTTTGACCTTCATGCACACACTAGGACATATGTATTTGTTCATGCATGCACAAAAATCAACGTAAAAGTATTTCCAGTAGTTGTAGTAGAATCTGCAATATGCCTGTAGCCAATTAAAGTTTGCCTTCAAATAACATCATTTCATCCAAGTGGGAGAACGTTCTCACAGGAAGAAGCCCCTTCCTGTCCACACTGCTCACCATGTGCTGTGCGTCACTGTTTGCTCAGTGCAGAACTCAGGTGGGGAGAGTCTGTAGTCTGTATTAACTGTGTGCCCTCACCAACATTCCTCAGCTCTTTCCCTTCCTTCCACTGAAGTACCAAGGCTAGCAGAGTTTGCTCTTAGAAAATTCTCCTCCCCAGTACAGTGAGGTTTCCCTTGGACGCCAATTTCCACTTCTACGGGGGAGGCTCTGGGTGTGTTTCACCTGGCGGTTCTTCCCTCTTCTAGACCTAAGTGGGGAACCTTTCTGGATTCTCCATTAATACTTGTTGGCTTCCTAGAATAAAGTCCATAAAGGTACCTTGGTATCCTGGGAATACAGCCTTAGGGTCCTCCAGGAAGTGATCCTGCAGCTCCAGGGAAACCCCTTTCATCTGAGACTCTATTGTCTTCTGTAGATTTGGGGACACTGTGACCCTCTGTCTTCAGCTCTGACAGGTCCAAGAAAAGCCACTGATCTCCAAAGCATCGTTTTTTTTTTTTTTTTTTTTTTTTTTTTTTTTTTTTTTTTTTTTCAAAACCATTTTTTTTTTTTTTTTTTTTTTCCTGATTGAAAGAATGGGATCAGCAACATGGAAGCTGTTTACAGAGCAGACCCCATGCAGAAATCTTTATGGTTTTTGTTTCCTTTTAAGAGTTATTTCTCTACACATTGGTGCAAATGCTTGTCAGATGGAGACTGTCATGTGCTTGCTTCTCTTGCCAGACTGCCTTTTCTCTGTGGGTGTGTCATCTGCAGCTGGAGTCTTTGATGCCTGGCTGCTGGGAGCTCACTGCTTGTATATTGTTGTGTGGGGGAGAGTCACTGAGCCTGTAGTCGTGAGGATTTTGCTTGTGTGTTTGATAGCTCCAGGCCTCATATTTATGTCTGTGATCCACTTGGAGCGGATTTTTATGTTTGGTGTCGGGGGAGGGTCCACCTTTATTCTTTTGTATGTGGATATCAGATGGTTGCAGAAATATGTTGAGAAGCCTATTCTTCTCCCAACTTCTTGGCACCATTTTCAAAAATCAATCTGACCATAAATAGCAGGGTTTATTTATGGATTAATTTCTGCCCCATTGATCCGTCCTCATCCAGCACCTGCTGTCTCCATTACTGTCACTTGGAAGTCAGTGCTGAAACCAGAAATTGTGACTCTTCCCACTTTGTTATTTTTGTTCAAGATTATTGTGCTGGTCTAGGTCTGCTGCTGCATTTCTAGTGAATTCTGAACTGTTTAGGAACAGTACCCGAGCTCCTCAACACAGCTGTTTGCAACAGGGTTAGGGGTTGGACCTGGTCTCCATTTCCCAGGCTCTTTGTCAGCATGGGTGACATTTGGAGTCTAGTGCTGAGTCTGAGTATTTATTCAGTTTTGCTGATGTCTGCCCAACCTGAGGATTCATGTGCACATATGTATATACATACATACATATACACATACATACATACAAGCCACTAAGGAAGCATGCCTGGGAGCAGTCACTAAGGCTCCACACCTCAGCCTGAGCCAGCAAGGGCGCAGACTATGGTGCAGACATGACCAGCTCTGAAGGAGCCACACTTTCACGTTCCTGTACCTAATCTAGGTTTTGGTGGCTCCATATTGGCAAAGGCTCCAACAGTCCACCGTAGGCCACTGGAGAAGAGCTGAATGTGGATGCTCAGCATGGAGGCCCAGTAGAACCAGCATAGGAGGACACCATAGGAGCCCTTCTGAGGACAGCACTTGGAATACTCAAGAGGAATAGTCTGTAGGAAAGAGGCTCATGGAGTCCCTTTTATTAGATGTCTTTTCAGGGGCTCCTCAGGCGACTGGGCACTTGTTTTCCTAAGAATATGTCAATGTGGAGGTTAGTGAACAGACCACCACCCCTGCTATGGTGCTGCTCAAATGGCCAGGCCATGGCTGATATTTGTTTTTTACACCACTACCTCAGATTTGGCTCCTTCCCATTACAACACACCTCTGATAACCTCAGCGTTTTGTTGGATGAATCCTGTCTAAGACCATGATTCATTCAGACCTTCATCTTGGAGGGGCCTGAGCCTAAAACTGCGTTTACTTCTCAGACTAGAATTTTGTGTCTGTCTGCTTCCATCAGAGAGTACTCTGAGGGATGCAGTTAGGCCCATCTAGGAGTCTCTTCTTGGTGATTAAAGTCAGATCCTCTGTTGGAATGGAGACCCAGAGGGTGGCCACAGTGGTGGGGCAGGAGGTTGGGTGTGTGGTATCTCCTGCAAAGGAGAGAGCTACAGAGATCTGAAGATCTTCAGAGTTCCTTCAAGCCTTCAGCCAAGTACTTCCTGGTCTGTACCTGCTGTAGATACAAAAAGAGGAGACCCCCAACTGGGGAACAAAGCCACAAGAAAAGATCAAACAGCATGTGATCAGGTGCACAAGTGTTGTTCCTACCCTTGACATGGCATCAAGATGGGTTCTGTGGGTTCATTCTACAGGAATGAAGAAAACCAGCTGCCTCCTACAGGTTAAGAAACAGGCCAGGGTCTGTGCCATTTTCCCAGTAGGAAGAGATGTGAGATATAGCCACTCATCCTTGACTCTCGAAGGCTGTTTCCAGGGGATCTTTGTTCTTGCAGAATGACTTGTGCAGAATGGGAAGTTTATGAGACACCATAATGCAAAGACAGAGGTGAAGATAAACGTCTCTGACTGTGGCTCTTTTTGCTCACTTCAGCCTGGGTGCCAAGCTTCTCAGTGATTGTATAGGCTGGTTGGTCTAGGGGTGGGGTACAATTGGTCTAGGGGTATTTATTACAGCATCTGCCTTTTAATGTGTGTGCTCTGGGGCAGCACACACGTGTCCAGCCAGGTATGTGGGCACGTTATATAGGGAGGGACAGAATTTGATGTCCTGTCTCTTTGTCGCTCCCTTAACTTGAGCTCTTGATGAGCCCAGAGCTCACTGGTGCAGATAGTCAGCCTGCCTTGGCAATCCCCTGCCTCCAGAGCACTGGGGTTATAGGTAGGCTAACATGCCTACCTATCTTTTTATGTGGGCGACAGGAATCAGAATCCTTGTCCTCATGCTGGATGTCTTGGAACTGTAGATCTCTGTAGATCAGGCTGGCCTCAAATTCACAGAGATCACCTGCCTCTGCCTTCTGGCATTGCAATGTTTTATACACTAAGCCCAAGCCCTAATGGGAGCCTTTGAGGTGAAGCCTCAATGCCCCTTAGGGTTCAGAGAGGATGCTTTGGCAAGCGAGGGACTTAGAAATTCTAAAGGCAAATGAATTCTCCACATGTGCTTCTCCGAATCAGTTTCTTTATTCTTCTGCCATTATTCTAAGTCTCCTATCCTACTTCTAACTTTTCCTAGCTCCTTCTTCTTCTATTCTAAAAACTCTTCTCCTTCAGGAGCTTTGAAGTGATAAAAAAAATTACAAGAGTTGTTGCTCATTGGTCAAAAGCACATTCCTAGGGTGAGCGATAGGGATAGAGCCATTGCCATGGCAATATAAGGCCCCAAGGCCATAAGAGCAAGACTGTGATCTGATGTGGGGGGCACAGTGCCCAGTGACAATTTTGAGACACAGGTTCATTGCTAACAGACTTAGCAAGCAAAGAACCAGCATGCCCTTCCTAGGGTGCTCTGTGCAACAACCAGGCCAGATATCTGCAACTCTGACCTTGTGCAAGCTGTAAAGTTTTAAACTTATGTTCTATTTACAAAAAACCTTTAATCTAATTTGAATTTGCTCTGAGATGAAAGTGAGCTAATTGTGTGTAGTAGTCTGAGCAAAAGAACAAGGCAGGCTTTAAGTGTTGATAGTCCTTGTAGGACAAAGAGATCCAGCTATGAAGCATGTCCCAGCCTATATTCTATGTATCAAAATTATACAAGTGAAAAGTCATCTTCCTGACTATCCACAGATATGTGTGCCCGTAGATGGAGTATTTTCACGAGATAAACACACACACACAAGCAGTGAGAAAACACCCAAAGCTATTCTTAGGGAAGAAATGAATTTCTTAGGGAAGAAATGAAGTGACTCATGAGAGGAATGACAGACAGGAGCAACTGGTTCCCACAGCCAGTAACTCCATGGCTTTGCTGCCAGGTGAGGCTCCAATCAGAGAATCACTCATCTGGTAGGTCAGCCTGTTGAACACTAGTTATCACCTGCTGTATCTCTCATGGGCCTGTGACAAAGCCCTCTACAACAGCTATTTTTAAAACAGTTTTATTTAAGAGTTTTATTTATTTATTTAGCTAGAGACACTTAAGATGTACAAACTCCATGCTATTACAAGCAAAAATGGTAAATAATCATCAAAGCAAAGCCAAGTAATGTGCTCACCATCTCCACATCATTATTGTATGCATGTGGGGGAAAGGTTGAATTTCCCAATCTATCCTTTAAGAATCTCAAGTATACAGTGTTGTTAACTACTGTTACTATGCTACACACTCTGTCCTTAAAATATACTAATCTGCATAATTTACACTTTATTCTCAACCTACATCTGCTTCCTCCTCACCTCCCTTGTCATAGCAGCTGCTACCAGAGTCGAGTTGGTAGGAAAGCCAGCAATGACAGATGCCATAAACCTTACCTGGGTCTTGCCTTCAGCATCCAGAGAAAGGGTGGGTCTCTGGGCCTTGGGCCCTGTGAGAAGGGCTTGAGGACTAACTCAGCAGACTTCTAAGCACTAGACATTCCCTTTGTGGAGACAGCTGCAGGCAGGTGCCTGGTCCCCACAGCATGATTTGCTGTGACCTAGCTGCCACCCCCAGGGGACCTAACCCCTCCAGGTAAAGGATTTTAGAACTGATATTGGATCTGAAAAGCAAGTACATAACTGTATTGCATGCCCCCAAGCATCTGGTAGCCTTTGCCTATCTAACCCTGATCTCTCTGACCAACAAGAGCCCCAGGCTCTGCTAGCTATCACCACAGGCTCCTCCTGAATCAGGGTGCCCCTGGGTCTTCGGATTTTTGGATATGCCATCACCACCATGGACAGAAGGGACTGGGTTCTAGCAGTATCTCCCTCCCCAGCTCATTGCTTACCACCTTGTGGTAGAACATGGCCATCTTGTAGGTCCTTTGACTTTTCATCTTCAGCCTACCCATGCATGTGTTTTGACTGCTCAGCACTCTTCCAAGAAGATCTAGGATCCTCCCTTGAGCCCTATAACCAGGTTTCCAAAAGCTGTCCTGTAGTGTTTTGAAACCCAACCTGGGTGCTCACACCAGGAAACTGATTCCAAGCCAGGGGAGAATGTGTCTTGCAGACACCACTCTTTAACCTCATGTTCTGACTTACAGCCCATCTATGGCCCTAAAGCCCACTCTCAGGCTGTTGTCCTTGTTCTCACTGGTGCCCAATAGATGTGCCCTATAGTTCCCCCGAGTTCATTACCTTTGAGCCTGGCTGTGCTGCTGGGAGACACAAATAAGGTTGTGATGTAGAATGGTAAGTGGGGGCAGCTACTGAGAGAGTAATGTGCCTTTAGAGTCCCTACCAGATTCTCTGGGAAGGGACACAGACCGGGGCCACTGTAAGTTCACTGAGTACAGGAGAGTTGAGGAAGCTGTCTTTCCTCTGTCATGTCTCCCATAGCTGGTCTTGGTGAATCTGTTCTCAGGTGTAGGAGATGGGCCTCTGTAGAGCAGAGCTCCTTGGAAGCCAGGAGTTTCCTTCCCAGAACTCAGGAGTACTTGGGATTGCCCATAGCGTCTGGCACAAGTCACTAGATGGTCTTTCTGTCCACAGGAGAATGACTACCTGCAAGACTGCCTGGATGCCATCCAGCAAGACTTTGTGATTTTTAACAGAGAAAAGTGAGTGTATCTATGTGAGGGACCACAGAGGGGAACAGGGGTAACACAGCACAGATATCCCAGCAGCCTTGTGGCCTGTGAGGCCTGGCCAGTACTCTCTGGGAAGGACAAGCAGTGGATATGGAAGGTAGAGTTGAGTGGCCTCTTTCTCAGGCCCCTGCAGGGGCTCCCTGGGGGATCTTCTAGGTGAATTTAGATTCAGGAGTTAGAATCTCAGTGACACATTTGGCTCAGAGCAGACCCAGTCACTTCCTGGTGGACCCTTGGTCACTCCCTCAGAAAATCTTCCCTTGGTGTCTAGAACCAAGGGCAAAGACAGGGCACAGGTGGCTGACAGGTCCCAGACAGCTGACACATGCCTCAGTGGAGAGAGCCTGATATAGTGGGGCCTGAGAGGGGTCAACACTCTTCCTTCCTGGGAATCAGGGAGGTCTTCTGGGAGGCAGTGGCTCTATACTAGGCTGGGCAGGGTGCACAGAGCAATGTGGGCTTGGTTGAGGACACTGACCCCATCCTGTGGTTAGAGGACAACACGAATCATGGGCTTGGCCATCTCTTTGAAAAGCTATTCCAATACTGCCTACTGAAACAGCTTCTGAATGAGCTGAGATACAAGCCTGTGGCTCCCAGCCTCATGGTGCTGTGGCCATCAGCAGAGGGTTGAGCGTCCCATACCTCTGATGGTCTCAGCATCCATGTCCACTTTCCCGTTCCCTGTGTTCCCAGCATGTGCCAGAACAGGGCTTCCAACAAGGGACCTTCTTGGCATCCCACACCACATCCCTGAAGGACAAGTCCCATGGGTCCTAGGCAAAACCATATATTCTACGTCAGTGGGTCCTGGGGATGCTGGGAGGGCTGTGCCATTTGGTGGGCTACATAGATCCACTTGTGTGTTGCCTCCCCCATCCCACCCTCAGGCTGAAGAGGAGCCAGGAACTCATGAACGAGCCTCTCCCATGCCCTGAGACTCCAGATATGACAGATTCCACTGCAGACAGTGAGACAGAGCCCACAGCCCTGCCCATGTGTGGCTCCATCTGCCCCTCATCTGGGAGCAGCTAGGCCATCTGGACTGTGTCCAAGGGCAGTTCTCTCTCAGGCTGCTTTGAAGACTCAGGATGGCCAGGAGGAAGCAGCAGTGGGGCAAAGGCCTGACCGCCCAGCCTGCCCGTGAGGCTGTCAGTATGGTGAAGCTGCTGGGAGCCATGGGTGCCCGTCGAGAGTCGTGGTTGGGCAAGGAGGGTCCTCGGTACCTAGACCATGGTTACTTGCAACATAGAGGGAGTCATGCAGCCATCACAATGGCTGACCCCTCTAACTGCAGGCTGGCAGATTACAGATGGCCAGAGTGGTACACGGGGACAGGAGCCCTTGGCTTTCTGGACCCTTTTGGAATTGGCTGTACATAGCCTTGTGGCCAGTCTTTGCTGTGGCCTGACCAGAACATCCTTGAGTTTGCTGCTCAAGGCTGTGGGGGTGGGAACAGGCCTTGCTGATTCTGATATATTATTGAGGGTGGGGATTGGGGGAGGGAGTGGGTGGGATGGCACAGAACGGTTTTTTTTTTTCTAGAGATACACACTGCTCTGTCAATTTCTGCAATTTGTGTATAGTTTTCACCTCTGAGAATTACAATCTAAGAACTGCTGTGTTGCCGGCTCTGTATGTTCTGTGCCTGTGGAGTGATGCCATCCATTGCCTGCAGTCTTCCATGGAGAAAGTCTAATGGACTGGGGCAGCAAGGTAGAAGGTGCCACAGGACAGTGGTGTAGCAGCTACCCCAGCATTGATAGAAACTGGAAGTGGGCTACTGAGCACAACATCAAGGTTCAAACCAAGTGATTCTGTAGTCAGAGGGACACTGTGACTAAGTCACTACACTGGCCTCTCCTGTCTCAGGATGGGTTCTGCCCCTCTAGTCCAGGGCTTCACAAGCATACATGGTTCACTTGGGAGATCCCATTTCACGTATGGTACCCTCCTAGGACAGTAGCCACCCTGGTTACCATACTAAGTATCTCTATCTATGTTTGTGGTTCTAGTCAACCCAACTAAATGCTGCCCTCTTGCCTGGTCAGACTGTGAAGTGACCTGGGGCCAAAGTGACCACAGTATCTGAATCTGAATTGCTGGCTGTGCTGAGAACAGCTGAAGCCCCAGGACTGGGAAGGCAGCTCTGACCCCTGTCTGTGTCCCACCCCCCACCTCTCAGCAGGATTGACTAACCACTGGGCTCCCAGTGGGGCCACACCTAAGAAGTACAGCATGAACATGAAAGAGGATGGACAAAGTACCCAAATCACTGCCACTTCTCTGCAGCCCCCTCAGGTAGCCAGGTTCTGAGTGAAAACATACTAAGGTCAGGTGCACAAGGGAATAATTCTGGGGTTTGTGTTAAGTGTGGAAGGTGTGACTGTGGTGAGAGTGCACTCTCTGTTTTGATTGTAGCAGGAATGTAGTTACTTCCTGGGTCCCTTCATCACCCCTGTCCTTGCTGGGGAAGTACAAAGACATTGGCATAGAGCACAGCATCTGGCCAAAGTTGGGGTTTCAAGTTCTAAAGCTTTGCTGGGCATGAGTGCACACTTTTAATACCAGCACTTGGGAAGCAGGCAGATCTCTTAAGTTCAAGGCCAGCCGGCTCCATAGGACAGCTGAGGCTACATAATAAGACCATGTCTCAAAACAAAACAAAACAAACGACACAAGCCTGAAGCCTTACTGACCATATGTATGTGACCCCAAAAGATGGCAGGGCTACCAAGGCAGGCCTTCAGTAGAGTTGCTGCTAGGACCAGTGAAATTTTATAAAGATCCTGGATGCCAACCGTGCTATGAGCTCCCACAGAAATGCTCCTGCTGCTGAAAATGGATGTTGGGAGAAGGGACAGGCGGTGTGGGAAAGACCTCCCACTTCTAGGGGGATCCCTTGCCTGGAATAAAGAACTTGAGACCACCTCCATGAGAAGAGGCTAGGGCCAGGAGGCTAGCCCAGCAATTCCAACCTCAGGAAGGCACCAATAGGACCTGCCTCGCCACTTTCCTTCTGGGAATGGGGCCTGGCTATGAGCGCCTGCACCAATCAGTCTCCTGGGCTGCCCTCCACACCGCGTCCCATCTGCAGGGTATGTATGTCTGTTTTCCCTTTACTGCCTCATCACAGCTGGAGTGGTTTCAGTCCCGCCAGTCAGAGCATGAACATCCTCCTGCTGACCATCTGGCCCCTCCCACCATTCAGGTCCAGTAATGCCCATGGCCCAGAGCAGGTAGAGACCACACTGCTAGATAGCATGCAGCTGGGCAGAGGAGGCAGTAGTTGCAGGGGCTCCCTGATCCTTGTGCAAATGCTTGTGAGGAGGGAAGTCTGGCTAGCAACACACAAGCAGCTTCTAACCCAGACTTTTTATTGACCCGACTCACATCAGGCTTGGCCGGTGGCCGGCATCTGGTACAGCAGCATGCAGATCCCTGGCTATGGTTTCCTGACAGTACAAAACTGCTATGCTAATAAATCTATGGAAACAGACTTTGTAGGAAAAGGAAATTGTCTTAGCTAAGGGATCATAAAACTCCCTAGAGGGGGCTGCTATAGGAGCTCAGGGTTGGTCCTTGGAAGTATGTATGTGGGAGGGAGCTAGCCTGCACTGAGTAACTGGTGGATCCCTGAAGTCACAGCAGCTCCGCAAGCCGGAGGCTACACTCACCTGCTCTCCTCCCTACATGGGGGCAGTCAGGGGGACAGGCCCCAAAGGGTAGCTGCACTTTAAAAACATGAAGCTGGTGGAAGCTTGGGGGCTTCCATGGGGCAGTGATTTCTTAGAGGGAGGCAGCAGCAAATGCCCACCCTGCCTAGTCCCAGACCCTGGAATGAGGCGGAGAGCTCTCATGGCAGGTCTTCATGGTGAGGGCAGGTGGGCAAGATGCACCTGCTCACTGCTATGCCTGTCCTCTCTCTCTGGCAGTGAACTGGATTCAGCCCTCTGGAGGGAGTCCCTCATAGTGGGGTCTGGGACTCCAAAGGGAGAGTTTATGGGGCAAGGAGGGCAAGGCTGAGCACCTTTCACAATCACATCTACAAAGGAAGGAGCTAACTGAAGTGAGTGCTCCCCACACCCTGCCAGTGGGGAAAGCACCAGCTTGCCAGAGCCCAAGTCTAGGAAAGAGATGTGATGTTGGAGCGTCCTCCAGGGGGTGCCATGATCTTCTGAGCTGTGCGTCTGGCGATGTGATCATCAGCCTGAGACCCTGAGGAAAGGGCAAGTAAGTGTGGTAAGGAGGATGGGGAGGGGGGCGCGATACAGACTCTCCTTCCATCCAAAAGGGAAGGTAGATGTGCCTGGTTGCACCCACTAAACCAGGACCACAAAGTATCCATGCAACCTCATGAAATGTGCACCCGGGGTTGGTTTTCTCCCCAAAGCCACAATTGATAGGTCAGGTGGCCAGGCTGGCTGCTTAGTATAGGTAAAGGCTGAAAAGTATAGGCAAAGACCCTACAATCTGTGGGGACAAGAAGGCAAAGGCCAACCCTTCAGGAAGCCTGCCCTGTTTGGTCTGTGTGGGCCCTTGTGATGGCAGGAGCTTGCCCCTCCTTCAAGACGACCTTGGATTCTGAAGGACTTCCCCCTGATCCTACATCACCAAGTGACCAGGAACTATTATTTCATCCCAAGCAGAGACATGATAGAGCAATGACAATATAGTAATATAGCTCACACTCAAGGGTGAGGAAAGTGGTGGGGAGAGTCTGACTTTGGTCTTCAAGCAAGATGGGGGACTGGGAAGCCCCTCAGTTAGTAAAAGCCAACTCTGTTGGGTCAGCATGGCAGATATATTCTAGTGTGTCCTCAAGTGGCTAAGGACACAGCTCAGACCCATGCCTCATACTTCACTAGTGAGTCTCAGCTTATGGAGCTGAGGAAGTTGTATTCTAACTTGGGCCCCCACAGGGGTGACACCTCTCTTCCCATGGAGACTGAACATTTTACTCTCCAAGATTGATTGATTCAAGGTGCCGGTTCTTTCATCTCAGCAGCACCCCAAAGGCAAATTCAGGACACAAATGGGCTTCCATAGCAGGGGTGCCCCTCATAAGGCCCCAAATGAGGCCCTTCACTAAGGTCAGTACCTCCTACTCTACAGTACCCATACCGGCTATCCACAGGCCTACCCCTGGGGTTTGCCCTGTGTGTGTACAGGTCCAAGTGCCCAGCTGAGCTTAGAGTACTCTGGTCGCTGGCTAGACCAGAAAAAAAAGACGCTGGAAAAAAAAGCGTCTTACACCATGCCCAGACCCAACTCACCAGATAGGCTGAACCCCGACTGGTGCAGGTTACGCACAGGTGGCACTGAGATCTTGCCCGGACAGGATGCACGAGCCGGTGTGCCAGTCCCTGGCTTGGCAGGTAACATTACCTCATGGACAGGCCCATCATACAGGCCTCGAGGCACACCATGGATCTCTGCTAGCTGTGGGGTCAAGAGAGCTGGGAGTTTAGTCAGTTAAGTTGATGGAAGGCAGTACCCTGCCTGTCTGCTTTACACCCCAGCTTGTCCCAGCTCAGTAATCCCATGATCCCCTGCAATAGAGGAGCACACACAGCTTCACACAGCTTCCTCAATGCTCTCCCCACATATCAATCAACCAACAAACATGGTTATATCTGTGCGAAAGCATGCACGCGCGCATGTGCACACATACACACACACACACACACACACACACCAGTCACAAAACTGTTCAGGGAAGGCTATTTAAGAGCAAAGCAGCCCCATCTGGAACTGGAATCGGATACAGGTCCCAACTGCAGTCAGGAAGCAATATGCAGTGAGGTTCTAGGTTCTGTCTGCCCTGAAAAGGACTACCAAAGCCAAAGCATTTCCCAGGGCCCCAGTATGAACCAATGTCCCAAGGAGTGAAGTTGCGCGGGCCTGTGCTCCTGGCTGGCACCTCCCTCTGGATTTGTAGGCCTACTTGACAATCTGGCCTGAGCCATCCCCAGAGGACTAGATCCCATTGACAAGGGAGGAGGGGTGTCACTACACAGTAGATGACAGCAGGTAGGACTGAACCATTTTCCATTACCATGTATCTCCACTCCCTCTGCAAATAGGACTGGACCTTCCTCATACAAAACTGTCCTCTACAGGCTCCTAGGGTCTCCAATCCCACCCTCCTCCTCAGAGACAGAGTGGAGATCAGGTGGTGTGCTCTGGAATGTACTAGCATCTTCATGGTAATTCACTCAGGGAGGTGGTCATAAACGGGTTTATAACCATATTTCCTATAGACAGCTGTAACAAAAGGTATACGCCACCACCCCGAGTAGGCATTTGATGGGCACAGGAGGGACCAGGCCTGCCAATGGCCTCCTCCTGACAACTTCCCCTACAACAGGCAATGATCAGCAGTCCTTGGGCAAGTGATGGCTTCCATTGTACCTTCCAAAGCCACATCAGCCAGGAGGCAGAACCTCACTCCACAGCTCACTAACTGTACTGGGAACTCCACGCCTGCCACCCACTTGATGTCCTGTCACCCCAGGTCAGCCTCTTACCCTGTTCCGAGCCTTTATCCTCTTGTAGACAAAGTCAGGGAACGTCTTCCGGGGAATGAAGCGGCCAGCCCCTGGAGTGACAAACAGGTTCCCGTCTTCCAGCACCACTCTGCCCTGACTTATGACCACTGTGGGCACTCCTCGGCACTCCACTCCTTCAAAGATGTTGTACTCTACATTCTGGAGAGAGGCCCACAGAGGCAACTTCCTTCAGCCCTGACTCCCAAGCTGGCCAGCACTACAGGTAACCTGCAGGTGCTGTGCTTAGGCCCCACCCAGAAAAAAAAGGCAACTGAGGCAGACAAGTGACACGCCAAAGGAATTACCCTCAACTCACTGGGCACCCCTAGTCATGAGATTCTTATGAAGTCAAAGGGATGGGACTGAGGGGTCACTTGTCCTTCCCTAGGCAGGTGTGGCACCCTCTGCCTCAGTCTCCTTATCTGTAGGATGGGTGAACAGACCCAGTCACACACCCTTGGGGACAACAGATGTGGCTCTGGACAGGTCAAGGCTACCAACTTAGCCACACTGAGGGTGACATCTGCCACCCACCTATCCTGGTGACCCCTCTGGGCAGCAGGTCCTGCTAGGCCCTGCGGAGGAGGGAGGCATCCTCACCAGGTTGTGGCTCTTGGCAGAGATGACTTTCGAGGCCCTGGGGTTCCAGATGACCAGGTCAGCATCAGAACCCACAGCCACACGCCCCTTCCTGGGGTAAAAATTGAAGATTTTGGCAGCATTTGTACTGGTCACAGCAACGAACTCATTCTCGTCCATTTTCCCCGAGGCCTGAGAAGCAAAAGAACCAGTTGAGGGGAAGGGTGGGCTACAGATGTCATGGGGTATCCCAAGATCAGGAGGGGCTCCAGCCATGACCTCACCATGGCAATAACACAGTGGATGCCTACCCAGACAGGGCACCAATGACAGTGACCAGTGGTGTGACTTTTCCTGTGGACACGACCCCATTTCTAGCTGCCTCTGCAAATAAATGACGATTCTTTGATACCAACACTGTGACAGTCACCCTGGTTTGTAGCTGTGGCAGAGGGATGATCGATCTCAAGACGGGGCCAGGATGCAAAGGAGGGAGACCTGCCCTCTACCTGCCTGTCCACATGCCTGCCTCCCTGCATTCCATCCTTCCTTCCTCCTTCTTCCTCTATCCCTCCCTCCTTCATCCCTCCTCCCCTCCCTTCCCTCATACTCCCTTCCTTCCTTCCCTCCTCTCTCTCCCTTCCTTTACCCTTCCTTCTTTCCTTCCTTCTTCCTGACAAGATTCTGCTGTGTAGCCTAGGCTGACTTTAAATATTCCCGCCTTAGCTTCCAGGGTGCTGGAGCTACAGGCCTACACCACTTTGCCAGGCTATAATGAATTCTTTTTAAAAATCTGAAGTTATCACTAACATAACAATTACATATTTAGGGTGCACTGGGTGATGGATATGATATTAACCTCCAGGGAGGGAAATCCGCAGATGTGATAGTATCATCCTGAGTAGAATCTATGTGCTGTGGACTGCTAAGCTCAGGCTTGAAGGGATAAGGCCCATCTCTCTCGTGAGCATTTCTGGTGGTAGGCTCCTCCCACAGCATGCTGCTGACAGCCCTTGCCACACCCACATGCCCCCAGGCCTCGACTTACCACACATTTCTCCCAGACCACAGACATTCGTTCTTCTATACCGTTGACACCCTCCGGAATCAGGGTGAAGTTGTCTTTGCCAACGGCCTTCTGGGCGGTAGTGAAGGTGCAGTGTGCACTGCCTGTCACCTGGAGGTCCCCACTGAGAACAAGCCAGGGTCAGAATGGCTCAGGGGCTGGCCCTGCTGAACTGGCCATAGCTGGGTCAGCTCCGGCCTCCTAGGCAGCCAGCCAAGGCTATGAGAGAGATCTGAGCTGGCACTTAAGTAGAGAAGGGATAGAATGGACAACGTGGGCATAATATGGAGGGCATGGACAGACTCATGAGGGGCCAGGAGCAGGGTGTAGGGTGCAGAACCCCAGCTGGGACCAGAGAGCCTTGTACCTCCCCAACTCTTTCCTGCAGAAGCCTGGGATTCCTCTGGAGGTGTCTGGAGGAAGCACAGGCTTGGAGGCCTCAGGCTGACCTGAGCTTTGGTGGGGTGGCTGCTCACCTGGACAGCAGGGAGGTGAGGTGGTCTGCAGTGGTAGGGTCTGGGTTGATAGGGGGTGAAGTGACGAAGGCCGCAGCCTTGGCCCAGTTCTTGCTCCAGTAGTGTGAGCCATCCGTGCCCAGGCTGGCAGTGATGGGCTCTCCAAAGACAACCACCCCTAAAGTGAACAAAGCTCATGGCAGACACCCACCAACCTGCACCTACTAGGAGAGCCCAGCATGGGTCTCACACTGCTACCTCTCTGCTCCTTGCTTTCATGGCCAGGGAAAGTTTGTCCTCTTTTCTGGAGCCCCTGACTAGTCACTGGCCCTGTGGGGTGGTTCTTTGGGAGGTGTGGTGACTGAGACAATGATCCTTTCCATACCTACAATCTCTGTTGGGGATCAGGCTGCTGGGTCACAAGGCAGGACTTAACCAATTAAACCTGTCAGTTCAGAGGCTCTGAGTCCCAGGCCTAGGCCTTGTGCCAGAGCTCAGAACTAGGCTGAGGCTGTTCCTATAAGTAAATGGGAAAGCACCAGGCTCAGAGCAGGGTGGGGACTGTTCCTGCTGCAGAGTAACTTCTTGGAAGGAGGAGTATGGCTCCTGGGTGAGCCCTGCAGGCTCTGCTAAACCAATCCTCTTCCTTGTAAACACAGTGGGTTTCTGTGCCAATCTCTGGGAAGAAAACTTGTCCCTGTACACATCTACTTCCACCCCAGGGATTTCACAGTCTCAAGGCAGAGCTAGGAAATGAGGTCTCATTATGAGACTGGGTGGGGAAATGGATGCCAGATCCTGCATTGTTTTTGAACATGCTGCCCCTTTTATGCATGACCTTTGTCTTATGCCCCAATCCTGGCCCTCTCCGATGCCCTGGTGACTTCTGGGGCATCTCTGGCCCTCTGAGCTCACAGCCTTTCTGTGAGTCACACAGTCTAGCCCCTGGCAACCACAGCTATGGACCTGCAAGAACATAGGCGTCTGCCTCTATCTAGTCTAGGTGCTGAGGGTCATGGAGCCCCTCAGCCCTCAGAATGTGTACCCCAGCTCCTGAACCCATAGCAAATATGTGAGCCCTGCTGTGGAACTGAGAATCCCTCTTGGATACCTACTCAGAGAATTCTGCCTTTGGGTCACCTGGGAACAGATACACAGGGCCCCAATTTGCTAAGGACCCCTAGCAGGCAGTTATTACTCTAACAATGCTGGAGACTCAGGTCCAGCCCCATCCCTCATGGGGACACAGGGCTCTTAAACTTCCCTTGAGCCTGTGACCCTAGTACCAAGGTAAGCAGGTGTACCACGAAGAGGCCCACTTTTCTACTGGGTCTTTCCTCTTTAGCACTTAGAGGTCCTCAATTGTCAGCAGAGCTCAGGGAGGATAGGAACATGTAGGAAGCAAGCGCTGGCACTCACCCCTGCGCTTGGCTTGGGCAACCATGTCAGCCGCTCCCTTGCTCATCACCTTGGTGATGTATAGTGGGCAGTTGGCCTGCTTGGCAATGGTGACTGCTCTGTACACAGCCTCGGCCTCTACCTGAAGACGGTGAAGGGAGGGGCAATCAGAACACAAAGAGCCTTGAGACTTCCTGACCAAGTGAGTTCTGGGGCACCCAAAGATCACCTATAAGACTGTAGGCACCAGAGGCATGCCATCCCTGTTGGAGCAAGGGCCCAGCCTAGGGCTCAGAATCTAGAATCTGGGTTGACCCACACAGTTCTCAGGGCCCATGTGTACTGCCTTCTTGCCTCAAGTAAGGGCTGTGGAGTGACAAGTGGTTGACATGGATACTGGGCAGGCAGAGTCATTGCATTAAGCCCCCAAGATGAGGATAGGATGAACAGGCCATGAAGCAAGACCAACTTAGCCCAGGGCCAGGGCAAAAATGGTATTCTCTACAGAGCAGAGAATATTCTTACCTCTTCTGGGTGGCTGAGGACATGGCCCTCAGGGCCGGTGATGCCTTGCTCCAGTAGGCGCTTTTGTTCCTAAATGATCAATAGGATGCTTTGTTCCAGTCCCAAGGATCCCAAGCTCCAGACATGAGGTGCCTGGCGGCAAGCCCCATACCTTAAGCATAGTCCTGGTCCCCTGAACATCCCAGAATAGAGCAACCACAAAGAACACATACCAGAGTCGGCTTGGGGAAGGCCAGCTCAAGGCACAGGCTATTGGCAGATAATCAGTCCCCCTTTGCCCTTCTTGGCCCTTGCTGTCACACTGTAATCTCCCAAGGGACTGGCATGGGTACTTTGGTAAGATCTGTGACCATCATGGAGAACCCAGGTTGTAGTTTCAATGTCCTTTAAAGACCCTCTAACTCATGGGTTGTTTGACCTTTGACTTAATATTCCCTTCCTCCCATCCAAGTGTCACAGAGGTCACAGCTCTCATAAGGTCTCTACCCAGCTTTGCCTGCCCTCTGAGGCTCACCTACTAGGCATCAGCTTGACCCACCCAGCCAACCCTGATGGGGGCAGCATAGCCTCTCACACCTCCTCCACGATGTCCCCATTTTCTGCGTGCACTTGGGCCAAGGCTCCCAGGTCCCGGATGAGGCTGAAGATCTCATACATCTGTAAGGAAGGCAGACAGAGTCCTGTGTTTGGAGGGTGCTCTCCCCAACAACAGCCCAAGGCACCCCACTTGTTCATTCCCTTTGAATTTGGCCTCACCTGACCATCGGTACACTGGCACCTGTCCTTGTATGCCATGAAGACCAGGAAGGAATTCACACCTAGAAAAGAGGCTAGAGGGGCTCAGACACCGGGAGAAGAGCCCAGAGATGGGGCATTTCTCTCACAGAGGCTTTGCTGGATAACATAGCACAGCATCCTACAGGCAAACCTTCCCTATCAATAAGTCAGGCCCCATGGACAGAGGTGGCTATGCCCCGGTCATTCCCTCACTGCTGTTCGAGTTCGGGGCTGTTTGCTCACCTAGTGGCCACGCAGGTAAGAATGTACCTACTACCACCACCACCTGTCATGCAGATCTCCACTCCTACACGACACAGAGCAGTGGAATTGGCTTGTGGTCCAAGCTCCATGTGCTCTCTTCAGGAAAAGCAGCCAGGCCTGGCATGCCAGGGTAGCCTCTCTTGGGCCATCTGTCATATCACCTGCCTACAGGTCCTGAGTCCTGCTTCACTATACCAAGCTCATTGTGAATGTTTATGACACTCTGAGAGGGGCAGGCAAGTCTCAGGGCTGAGACCTCAGACACACAGGAGGAAGAGGGGCTGATGTCCACAATATTGGAGTCCAGTCAGGAGCAAGGCTGAGCCTTCCCAACTCCTGGACAACCAGAATCTGCCTACCTCCCAGGACCAGGACCTATGATGGTCCATTGAGGCATAAAGGCAGGCCAATCCCACCCAGCCCAAAGGCCCTGTCCCCCTTGCTGGATAGAAAGGAACAATGTGGGTAACACTGAGGAGAACTGAGTCATTTTGTGCCATCCTCCCAGGTAATGACTTGCATGTGATGTCTGATGGCAAATTCTGATTAGAAGACAATTCTGACAGGGAGAGTGAGCTCTGCAGGCCCCTGGTTCAGAGAGACTGCAGGGAGTCTAACTGTTACCTAGAGAGCAGATTCCACTATACCCAGGTGGAGTAGGTGTGGGGCCTTATGCTCCAAAGGGCACCAGTGTGAGGACTGCCATTCTCTGGGAACTGTGACCTAAAGGAGATAGCCTTGGGGTGACAGCAGACAGGTAGCAGTGTCCCTTATGAGTGTGCTCGTCTGAGAGCTACAGACATCACATGGGACAGTGACAAGGCAAGCATTCAGCACTGTATGACTTTTTGTCAAGCCCACTGAGAAATCTGGTGTGGTTTTAGCTTTAGGACGATTGTATAGAATGGAGCCAATCTTTATTAACACTTGAATTAGTTTCAACACAGAGCTTAAAAGAATCTCCTAGGAGAAAAACCCAAGTGATGGTAAATGTGGCTACTTCTTTGTCTTCTGGGCATCTTTTTTCTAGAAAACAGAGAGCCAAGGACTGCATGGTCAGGGCAGCTTCAGTGGAAAGACCAATTACAGAATGTGTTCATGGCATAGTCCCTCCTCGTTCAGAGTCTTTGAAAGCACAATTGACTTTGAGTGACTCTTCTCCAACTCAATTCCTAAACGCCTGCCTTCGGATCTGGCTGGCAGACTGCAGCAAATCCCAGGGGATCTAGAAGGGACCCCCCCACCCCCGTCTGCCTGTAGGCATAGTGATCCTTGGCTACCATCACTGCCGCTCACCTTTGTCCCTGACTAGGGCCTCCAGCTCCTCTTTGGTGCTCTCATGCCAGCGGGGAATGTCCACATGTAGGGAGTAGTCACAGCAGGCTGCACTGTCTGCTCGGTCTCTCCACTGCTCATAGGCTGCCAGCAGGCTCACACCAGGCTCAGGAAACACATGGTCCACTGTGGAGGGGCAGCACATTCAGCCAGGCTCCCAAGACTGGCCAGGGTGCCCCACTATTGTCTCCAAGGGGGAATTTGTTTCACATTCTGGAGACCACGGTGGGACTTGAGGAACACACAGCAAAGGGAGGTCCTGTCCTGCCACCTTCTTTCTTCTTTCAGTCAGCTCACAGGCATCTTCTGTCCCATGTGCCCCTGTCTGCTCACAGGCATCTTCTGTCCCATGTCCCTCCAGCCTCTGAGTAGAGCTCTGAGAGGGGAGCCCAAGTTCAAACCACCCCTCTTCCTTCAGACCTTGGTTCCCCAGGAACAGCAGTGACAGGGTTTCCAGCTGTCCACAGTGTGGCCCTGTGGACATGTACTCGTCTAGAAAACTTCCTCCACTGAGTCGGTTTCCATGGTCTCACTGACTCCACAAGCCCCAAATAGTACAAAGCATTCCTACACATGGCCACTGTGTTGTCTCCTTCCCATCCCAAGGTACAAACACTGCTCACTGGCCAATCCTGGGATGTGTCAGGAGAGAGCTCTGACTACTAAAACAAAATGGTGCACTTCAGGGACCAGTGGCTGCTTCACCTCCATGCCAGACCCCCTGTACCCCCACCGCATTTGTTCATCACTCAGATCACCAGCCAGGACCCTGGGAGTGGGCACATGCCCTACATAGCCTATGCTTCAGCCTTGTGTGTATGCCATTTGTGTTTCTGGAGACACCTCCCAAACAGGTAATATTAACACTGCAGCTGTGGTGGCCCACCTGGCCCACCACATGCACCTGAGCAGCAGGAGCCTGAGGTGGCCTGCCTTGCTGCTAGTTTTCCTTCAGTCTGTGACAGAGTGAACCAAACCAAGCTAATGGCTGAGTGTTGCTGTGGAGTGCCTGGAGTCTTCAAAACTGTACTCCTTGGTAGCAGCTAGGACAGCATTTACTGTGTTCCAAGTGCACAAGAAATTTGTGTGGTAAATCTTTTATCCCCAGCCTCTAGAGGAAAGGAGAGAGCCTTTCCTCCTGCCATGAAGGTATACAGCGTGAGTATGTGGGGTCATAATATTGAGACCATATATAGAGATGTGCACAGGAGCAGTTCAAACAGAGTAGTATAAATGTCCTGTTTCAAACACCACAACCTCAGTGCTTAGCACAGGCAAGAACTTGCTGCAAACAGACATTAGAGGCAAGGTTCAGGCTCAGCTCTCTTGGTTCAGAGCACTGGTATTTCTGAACCCCAGTTCCTGGCCAGCAGCCAATCCCCTGGAAGGAGTAAGTGGGCACACATCTGCTTATCCAGAACCCATCAGCATCCTAGAGCTAGCCAGGGCAACTGGCCCAGAAAGAGAAGCAGGGACAGCAGGAGTGTGCTCAGCATATTTTAGATGGAGATATAATAGAGAAACAGAACTGGGAAAAACCACCTCATGCAACAAGGAAACGGGCCATGCACTGTCCCAGCATGCCTAAGCATCTATAGGAACCCAGCCTTGTACTAAGTGTTGTGATAATACAAAAATATACACGGGAGCCAGAACCATTGTGCTATCCAAGTTTTCATGACTACCTGGCAAGTGGCCTGCACACTCACGTATCATAGTGGTCCCGCCTGCTAGGGCCGCCTTGGTGCCCTGACAGAAATCATCAGCTGGGGTCATGCCCAGCACAGGCATCTGCAGCCGGGTGTGGACGTCAACTCCCCCGGGCAATACCATCAGGCCATGAGCATCAATGGTTTTGATGCCCCCAGGGACGATGAGGTTTTCTCCAATTTGTCTGAAAGCAACAAAAAGAGTTGTCACTTCACAGAGAGCTCAGATCACAACTCGAACATGCTCCATGGCAGTGGCTCTAAGAAGTGAGGGCCTGGCAACGTGACCATGAGAAAAAAGCGCCTGCCCAGGTGCTAGAGAATAAAACTCACTATCTCAGGAGGACAGTGTGTAGGGCCCAGTGCTGTGCCAACATGGCTTTCCTCCTGTTCTCCTCTGAAGTCCCTGCTTGCTGTCTACTGACCATAACTGGAGTCCCTGTTTGGTGTCTATGGACCCATACTGGAGCTCTGTGACACATAAAGCAGAGGCGTGAATAGGTCAGTTTTTTCTGCTCATCTGCAGGAGCCCAGACTTGTCTAAGTGCTATGATAATATAAGGATACATGGATACTGGACCCATTGTGTTCTTCAAGGCTTCATGGTTTTCTGGTAAGACTATCATGCCTCAAGGACTGTGCCCAGGGTCAGGATTTTGGAAAAGAAAGCATTTGCATGGTTTTCACCCCAAAGCAGGCTCCTGGGTGCCAAGTAACCAACATTCACACATACACATGTGTACACACACCCCTGTGTAGAAACTTACTTAATCAGACCATCTTCCACATACAGGTCGGCATAAAAGGACTGGTCGTCATTCACAATCTTCCCCCCTTTGATGAGAAGGCGGTCGCTCTGACAAGAGACAAAAGAGAGGGTGCTGACAGAGACTTTCTGGACCATTAGCAACTTCTTACCTTAGAATGACTGAAACATTTTGATGCGTTTTGTAGCCATTAAGAACCAGCTCAGGGCCAGAGAGATGGCTCAGTGGTTAAGAGCACCGACTGCTCTTCCTGAGGTCTTGAGTTCATATCCCAGAACCCACATGGCAGTTTAGAACATCTGTAACTCTGATTCTAGGAGATCTGACACCTTCACACCAATGCACATAAAGTTAAACAAATTATTTTTTTAAAAAAGAACCAGCTCCAAAGGTTTGTTTGCAGTACTCCAAACAGGGTGCTCAGAGCAGTGTCCAACATGGCCCTGGCACAAACTACTGTTGGGCAGATGCTGAAGGTGGCAGGGAGGGGGACTGAGTGGGAACAGCAGGGCAAAGCTGTGTTGGTGAAAGTATGGCAAAGCAGCTGCTACATTGAAACCTTCCATCTGACCATCAGAAAGAAGACCTGCCTAAGGGAAGACCTGGTGACCTCACCGTTCTCAATCTGCACCTGCCAGCTTCCCTCCCACCTGTATTGGCAAAGCTAGGTGGGCAATTAACAGAGCCAAGCTGGTATACCAGAATTGCTACAGGCCCATGGTGGTGCCAGAAGATTGGGGCAGATAGGATGCCAGACATCTTAGTCTTGACTCCAGAGGTTACAGCCTAGGGACAGACAGATGGAGGTAGTGTGCCTCTACTACTCTCCAAGGCCCAGGTCATCAAACTGGAACAGACAGAAGAGCACAAAGATAGGGTGAGAAGAATTTGGACCACCTTGAGCATCACGGGGCTTTTCTGGGGAACTAGTGTGGTGTGGCAGAAGTCGGGGGGATTGTTCCAGGCTAGGGAGCAGCTGTACAAAGGTCCCTGAGGCAGGAAGGTGCTTGGGTTAGCTTTAAGCCTCAGAACATGAGAGCTACAACTAAAGGGGAAGAGCAAGAGGAAGAGCTGGCATCAGAGCTGGGCAAGGTTTTGGGGTCCATGGGATGACACTGGGGGCAGAAGCACTTGATTAGTTCTGCTAATACAGAGATCACGTGGGCTGTCAGGAAGAAATGGATTAAGAGAGCACAGCTGCGGCTTGAGTGACTTCATAGGTTGTTCAGGGAAGGGGAGAGGCTCTTGGTCAGTGTTATGGACATGAGCATGAGAAGGCAGATTTGATGGGGGTGCTGGGAATTGATGGGCAGAACTAACAGATAGAGAGGCCATGGGTGTGAAGGACGGGAGCAGGGGTGGATCAGATGGCCACAGGCTCTGATGCAATGTGAAGACATTCACATGGATGAAGAGTTTGTGGGCAAGGGCAGCTCCCTGTGTGCTAACCTCAGAAAAACGGAGGCATGGAATCTGATTGGTTCTGATTGCTCTTTGTCCCATAAGACAGACATTCCTAAGACCAACCAGGAGAAACGAGTCAGGCAGAAAGTGGAAACTGCAGATGAACTCTGCATGGACCTCAGAATCGATGGCCTAGCTTTGGTGGAGAACAGTGGAAACACAAGAAACGAAGACGCACATGCAGACCCGCATGTGAGAGGGGAGACCTACTGATGTCCTTTTCCTACCCATCTTGAGCCACACTCCCCTGTGAACTAACCAGGGACAGCACTCTATACTAAACAAGGAAGCCTGGCCAGAATTCCTGTGACCCGTGTGGCCTCCTCGCCAGCTTCAGCTATGTTATACCGTCAGTCTGAGACCAGGAGAACCAGCTGAGAGTGTGTCAAACAGAACCCTGTGAGCCTACAAGGATGGGGAGGGGGGTCTTTTGTATTGTTTTGACCAACAGCAGAGTGTTGGGCTGATTTCTCAGGGTTCTCCTGTTCTACCACCACCACACAGTCTTCAAAAGGCCTGGCATCTATGGCCCAGCCCATACCACCCAGCCCTCTGCCTGTACAGGCCAGAATCACAAATAGTTTTCAAGTTTTATATTGGTTGGGGGAGAAAATGAAAAGAATGGCTTGTAAATATTTTATGAAATCCACATTTCAACGTCTACAGGTGAAGTTCACAGATTCATTCATGTCCATGAAACCACCCTGCCCAGGGGTCCTTAAGTATGAGTCAGACATGGTGTGGCCCACAAAGCTGAAGGGGCTTTACCACTTGGCCCATTGTCGAAGTAGCTTGTTGACCATACCAAGCCTGGCTGCAGCTTAAGTCTCTCTCCAAATGCCTGTAGGTGCTCACTGATCAGTCCCACTGAGCACTAGTGTCTATTGGTGAGGTCACCAGGTCTACCTACCACAGCCACTTTCTTTGTAGGCCTGCTACTATGGACCACACCCTTTCTCTTCCCCCTTGTTCTAGCCATTATCAGAAAAATCTAGGAAAATTCAGCCGTTAGGAGAAATCCCTGAGCTAGAAATCTTGAGTTCTGGGTCCCTATTTAGACTCCTGTTTTCAAGCACCAGAATTTGTATTTTGGAGTCCTCCTGGGTTTGGGAGAACAAGTAATGCTGTAATAGGCCCCATCTAGATGAATGGGGGTTCTGGCGGGCCCTCTCCATCAACATAAACAGGACTGTCTGACTAGGCAGGACCCTGCCATCACCATCTCAATTCACTGCCAGCTGGTTGCTGGTACCTCCTCCTTAGGCCTGGATCCCTGGGAGTAGTAGGCAGGAACTAATTCAGGTCCCTATGAGAAGGGTGTCTCTCCTCTTTGAGTGTTTTTTACTTTTTTTTTTTTTTCTAAAGGAGAGGACTCCCTCCGGATGGCTAGGGAACTGACCTCCCCAACAGCCTGATTAGACTCCAGGGCTCTTAACGCTGCTGAGAACGAGTCCAGAGCTTTTTGAGATCTCCTACAGCTCCCTGACCTGGTCCAGCTGATCCCAGGAGCCTCCCTTTCTTCCTCCCAGGCTTCGGGCCACCCCTCACTCCCTCCGGTGGGAAGGCTTTGTTTCCTGGACGGCTGGGTGGACACACTGACCTTCTGCTTTCTGCGTGTCTGTTTTGGGGAGGTCTGTCCTGAAAGCGGGTGCCACAGGGATGCTGGTCGGAGTGGTCAGTTAGTACTCACTTCCCGTGGAGAGCCCGAACCCAGCTTCATGCAGGGTCTCGGGGACTTCAGGGGCACCAACCAGATCTAGTAGTCAGGGCTAAATCGCTTTGTCTCGGACAAAGCTCCAAAGACACGGAAGCCGCGCGTCCAGGGGGTAGGCTGCCCACGGGCTGCTCTAGGAACAGCATCCGACATCGGAGTGCCTTCAGGCCCGGGGCCAACAAAGGCGGTGTCCACCGGCCATCCTGGAGACAGAGCCCGGGGCAATGTCCGCTTGATCCCCATCTGCCCCACTTCAGACTCGGGGAGGCTGGCCACCTACGCTCCGGGTAGCAGGCCGCTCACCCCGCCTCTCCAAGCCTCACCCGCGAGTTCGGAGAGCTGGTGGGCCCCGGGCCTGTGCGTCAGCTGAGCAACGGGTTCCGCGCGGCCTGGAGAGCTCTCTCCGTAGCTGGCGGCACACGAAGGAGAGGAGAGGGAGGGCTGGCGCCTGGCCGGGGTCTAGAGCCGGCGTGGGACTCAGGCTGGGCCCGGAGGATCGTCGGCTGCGCTTGCAAACCTCTCCCGCCGTGGGCAAGGGGCGCCAGACGCAGCGGGGGTGGGGGCGGGGGCCCGACTCACCGTGATCCGGGGAATGCTCTTCTTGCCTTGGAAGGACATCCTGATCCGCGGGCGGGTTGTGAGTCCCCAGAAGGGGCGGCGGAGACACGCGCGGAGCTTAGCTAGTCCAAGTGAGAGCCGGCCGGGCGCAGGGCTCCGATGGACTCATTTGCATATATGCCCCGCCCATCGACCTTCATTTGCATCCCGGCCCCTCCTCCCTGCTCTCGTTTGTGCTAGCTTGCCAGCGATCTCTCTCCCTTTCTCCCTCTCTCCCTTTCCCTCACCTCCCTTCCTCCCAAAAGAGCACCCTAGAGGCCACAGGCGGTGACCACTACACCCAAGTCCGTCTGTGCTTAGTGGAGAGGAATGGGTTGCGATCTGTCGGGACCAATTTGTATGGAGTTTGCATTCGAGGAAAGACAGGAGGAGAGATGCCTGTCCAGCCTGGCCCCGCCTAACCTTGTTCTGTGGTGGCCCGAGGCAACCCAGGCTACAGGGTTTAAAACTAATTCTAGCATCTGGGCAGAGGCACTGCAGGAGCCAGAATCTAGCCTGATATCTCTGGCAAAATCCAGACATCTTCAAGGAATGGATTCAGGTTGGAGCACAAGAGCCTGTCTGACGTGACCGCGGAACAGTGGTGCCTAGGTAGACTGTTCTTTGGCAGGTCACACCAGTCTAGGGCAGGAGGGAGAGAACAAGTTGGAGGGGCAGAGAGAAACAGTCAAGCAGAGAGAGATGAAGATGGAAGGGCTGGACTGGGGGGCAGGAAAGACAGAGGTGGAGACTCAGGGTGAGAAATCAGTGGAATCATAACTGACGACACTCTGCTGGTCTACAGCTGCCAGCCCACAGCCTGGCTCCCTGCTCCCTCTACCTGCTGGGCCCCAGGGACAGGATGTGTTGTCTGAATGGTCGATGCCTGGCTCTTCAGGGTCCTTCCAGTGTGGCTGGAGGACCTGAAGACCTCTGTGCCTGCCAAGTTATGCATCCATTGGCAGCGCCTTGTTTTCCAAGGCAGCTGAAGACAACACCAAATTTGAGCCCATCCAGGGGTTTCCCAGACACGTAGGGACATGATGCCATCATGGTGAGAGTGGGAGATTTGTGGCCAGGTGTCCTCAGCCCCCAGCATAAGGTCTGTGCACAGGACACGTGGACCAGGGCGTGCAGCAGCAGTCTCATGGTGTGTCCGCCACCCAGAGCACACATAAGCCTTTCTGAGCTGATGCTGTCCAAAAGCAGAGGGTGCTGAATGAGCTGGGCAGAACCAGAGGCACTTACTGTCCTAAAACAATCTTGGTGGTTTGCCTTCAGGGCACTTCTTCCCCAAACTCATTAGGCCTGGTGAGAGCCATGAAGCTGGTGTTCAGAGGTGTTCAGAGAGCCATGAAGCTGGTGTTCTACTCCAAGTGCTATGGGAGCGTTCTTACTGGACCACGATGCAAGAAGAGGGTCTAAGGATCTGCAAGGACAGCCTATTCTAAAGCCAAGGCCAAGGATTTGGGATGAGACAAGGCAGAGGTGCTCTCAGACACACCCTCAGCCCCAGAAGGTCACAGACAATTATTGTTGTCATTGTGGAGTCTACAGTGATGGACTGTAAATAAAAAGACCCCCACCTTCACATTGTCCACTCAGTCAACTCCTTTCAAACACATGCTGGGACAGTAAGTTGCTGGGACACTCTACTGGGAGACCATGGGCCTGTCAGCCAGCCAAGGCCATCATCTTCCTGCCTGTCCTGGACTCACACTCTCCTAAGTGTACCTGTAAACCTCTATCCACTCCTCAGCGGTGTGAGAACCTCTGCAATGGATGTGGCCAGCTGTTCCTATTAAGATGCCAAAGTTCTTTTCCTTTCCTTAGCTACTTGAATTCTTCTCCAAGCTACATATTGCATAAAGCCAGCAGAAGAGACCTTCCTGGTAGCTACTCTTAGCTAGTGGCTGCCAGATTCTTCTGACTAAAGGGCTGTCCTTCCAACGACTTTAGGTTTCTCTAGATGTGGCTGCCGGTCCAAATTCCCTTTCTGGCACAGAAAGAGGCACTGGTGGTTACATGGTGAAGACAGAAAAGGCTAACACAGATAATAAATTCACACTTTAATAATACTCATGGAGATACCTTGAGTTAGGATTTAAAACAAGTTTTATTAAAACTGTACAGTAATTTACAAATAAGTAGAAATTCTCTGGTATATATTATAGGAACCACAATACAAAAATATGTGTAAAATTTATAATTGACCACCATACAAACCTAGATTAAGCCTGGGAATACTGTTTAGCACTGAACAGAAAGGTCACGTGTTTAGAGGGGGGTGCGTTAAGGATTGCTTCGTTGAACACAAATACTGCCTGGCACTCTGCCATGAGAAACCAAGTTCTGCTCCTTTTTGCATAAGTTTACAATAAAGCTTTTTAGAAAAGATACAATAAATATATGCTTTGATACATATATTCACAATATGATTTTCCTGAGCCTAAACTTAAATCCATTACTGTATAATAACACACAACCCACCGTAAGGGTTCAATGACGGAGTGATGGCAAGAGCCGATCCACTATCAGTTCCTCAAAGCCACTCTCCACCCTCCTTCCCGACTCTCAGGTGGTGTTTACAAGCCGTGTAAGGCACTCAGGTTTCCTGAAGGCTACAGAGTCTGCAAGGGCAGAGACTTAAGTCACAGCCATAGGCCTTCAGCAACAGAACGCTAGACCATGGAAACGAAGTAGACACCACATGGCTGTTCACGAAGGACTCTGCGTTTTACGTGGATTTCTAGTTTAGACAAATGAAAAGGCTTATGCCATTCTGTGTCGTGCACACAGAGTGAGCAGGCTGACAACTTAATGCAATGTGAAGTCGAGGCCCACACCTCAGTGGCACAGTTTGAGTTCCTGGGGGACATGTCAGGGTCCCTCTTCTTGCTTCAGCAGGGCAGTGCCATCGCACATGGATGTCCTGTTTTAGGAGCTAGCAGCAAGAGCTCAAATGTGGGAGGGAATCCCGTCTAACCCAGCACTTAGTGAAAGGTTCAGTCTGGGATTTAGAAAATGCACCTTACTTTTGAAATGCTTGAGCTCTTCAAATGCTCACTGGCAGCAAGAATCGGTAACAAAGGCTCACATGCACACCCCCCACACCCAAAGTTCAGACCAGACTTTGGGATCATGTGACAAGAAGGTGCTTATGACACATTGAATAAAAACAATGAGATCTAAGGAGAGTATAGCCTTCCAGCTAAACATGTGCTTTCAGGAACACAGCTGGGTAGAAATGCAGTTTGGTTTGTGGGATATTATCTAACATTCATTGAGCCATTTTCCTTTCTATGTACATATACTTTACACATAAACAATAATGACTTCATAAGCATTGGTACCTATTTACATGCTTCTCTTTCTTATAAGTCTTTCTTTAAAACAAACAAACAAACAAAATGTTCCCAGACCTGTGATTTAGAGTGTTAGGGGTATTATGAAGTTATTCCAGACACTCACACAATGTGCAAAGCCATGATCTAAACAAACCAGAGGGATGTGGGGTGGGGTGAGTTTACAGTGCAAATTTTTTGTTTCCAATCAGCTACTGTTCTCTTGCAAGCTCACTTGGAGCTGGGCCAGGAGCTCTGGTAGGCAGGGAGATGCATGGAACAGAGACAGTTTCCAGACATATAGGCATATTGCACAGTCCATCAGTCTCTAACCCAGTGGTTTCCCTCACCTATAAATCTGGCAGCATCACTAATACAGGCTATTGCTGCCATTCAGTGCTGACTACAGCAAATGGACCAAGAGAAGGTAGTCATCTAAATCAGACAATTCCATGCACTCAGGATGGAATATTTCAGACTCAAAGGCCAAACCCAATGTCAGGCTCAGCTAGGGAAGCCACGACTGGGTTTGTGCCTTGTCCGAGTGCATCAGGAACTATGGCATGAATGACAACAGGAAGAACCAAGTGCTTAGTGCATCTCCCAGCAGAAATCCTGCAGCCACTGAAGAAAAGGCCTGTGTGTCCAATCCTGTAAACTTTCCTCTGATTTTGACCTAGGGGTGTTTAACGGCTCGGTCATCTGCTCCACAGCAGAACATTTCTTCTGACACAAATATAAAATGAACTTAATACCTTCAGACAACCTTCTCATTCCTCCCCCTGGCTACTGGGCTTTGTAATATACAATGCTGAATGTAGCAGTCACACCTGGCCGTGAATCTCACCATCCAGTGCAATCAAATTCTAGGTGTTTGAAAGGGCTCTAATCCATTCACTGACCTCTCACTGAGCAAGCACACACATGCACACACACACACACACACACACACACATACACACACACACACACACCCTCCTAACTTCAGCACAGAGAGCGACAACCTTAGACTAGCAAGAATGTGATGAGGACAGAAGGGCCACCTCCAACCAGGGATGTGTTCTGGTCCACACAAGGCAAGACTTTCCTGGATGTGTAGTGGAAATCTCACTTGAACCATCCTTAAGGGTGCACTGTTTTCTCTCTGGAAAATAAAAAGAGTAGAAACAAGGGCTTTAGTGTAACATACTTGAGACACAAACAGGAGTGTTCACAATATGGGGCAGCCCTCAAAGAGTAGTGTCAAGAGGAGCACAGAGATTGAGAGCTACAATCAGACTGACTCTTCATGTGGGCAATAGTACCTACCCCATTATGGTGGTGCTGGCTTTGTGGATCCCACACTAATGACACATCAGGGGCCTCTGGCTGAGCAGGCAGCCTCCTAGGATACTGCACATTCACACACAGAGTGGAATTAGTCTGTATCCCTCACTGTAGAATTCATCTGAACCTTCCCTCAGTGGTCCCTGGAGGCTGCCAATTTCTTCTCAATTTCCTTTTCTTCTCTGAGCTTAAGAAATGTGCCTCTGCTAGCTTCTCATTTCCTTTTATTAATTTCAAATTTTTAATGTTCCTAGCCACCAAAGGAGCTGTTAAGGTTTCTTTCAAGTAGATCAGCCCCTGCTGCAGTGGGTGGGGGAGACCCAGGACCACAGATGCTAGCACTAACCTAAG